CGTCCGATAAGTTTAGATTCCTTTCGTTTTTATGTGTTTTTTTCAACTGCATTTCTAGCCTTAGAATTCATATGAATGGCTCCTACAAATATGAAACTTGTTGGAACCAAGAGAAAATATAGCAAAGATAAGAACAAATACTAAAAAGAGTATTTTAGTTTGCAATTCAAACTCTATCTCAAAAGTACTAACAACACTATATATCCAAACTCTGTTTTAGTGAATTAGACTGAAAACTCACCGACTCTTAGATAGGGAAAGTAACCCGGTTGCAAAGATGATATTCGATATAAAAAATTTCGTTTGACTATTAATAGAACAAGAGCATCTTAAATGAATCTATCTATGTGACAAACAGAGAAAAAAAGTTTCTATTTCAGAAAGTCACCATTTACAGAGGAGTTCTATTTATATTGCATTGCAAAGGACAACTTTGAGAGTGGAACATAATTGTTTCTAAATAGTCGAAGGAAACCATATCCAATCTTGAAGTATTGTCATTCCACAACAATCACTTGACCGATAACTTAGGAACTACAAAGTCTTTCAGTCAAGAGTCATGTTGGGTAAAAGTTCTTCAATATGGAGTGGCTTTCAGTTGGAGATTGCTGAAGCTTTCAAGTTAGTACACTACTCGACCTTGACTCAAGTATACAAGGCTTCTTCTTTAGCAAAATTATTTTTTTGGTTCTGTCTTTTACTCTTTTTTCAGCATCGATGTGCAGAAAATGAACGGTTATAGTTACTACATTTGAAGCCTTCATTGATGTCCTTATATAAGACATATTCACAACTTTTTAAAAGTCGAACAAAGGATAGACAACTTGTGTAGCTATTATATCCATAATGGCTTGTATTTAATGATAAGTCAGTATGACAATCTACATAATACTCTTCTCCAAATTCCTTTAGATATTTTTGTATTTATAAACTGTGCTACGACCGGTTACAAACTAACAGACTTCCCATTCATTGCAATTCTCTGTTTCGCACTGTATTTCGTCTGTAACTTACAAAAAGCTTGTATCTAATTAGACTTGTATATAGGAGTTTGCGTGTAAGATGATATGGAAGATAGTAGAAAAACTCTCTTACAGTATACAAGCCATAGAAAGAGTACCCATCAATCTAATTCACCACAAAAACTCATAGAAACCTATTTCTTGTCTATTGTAAAAGAAAGTTTCTAGTTATGACAAGCAAGAAAATATTCCTGCTTTCTCTCTATTGTCATTGTACTTCTAGAAGTGTCAAAGAGATCAGTTTTACCAATAACCAAATAAACCAATCGCTCGAACAATAAAACATACACTCTCTTCCATCTCCTGTGAAAGTATTTCGGTCATTCATTTATTCATTACTTGTGAATTGATTTCGGATTGGCGGCGACGTGTAAAATGAGTTTGAACGAACCGTTGATAGATAGAAAAGAAGATGTTTATTCTATTCTTCGAACTTATTACTACCAGTTTCCTCGATTTGGGGGAGACTTGAATACTCCACGTCCTGCAGCTTGCTTTTCCCCTCATGTCTTTGGAGCTGGGAAGAGTTTTCTTGGTGAAAATTTTTTAGAATTTTTAAAAAAATTCGCCGAAGAAGAAGAAGAGCAGAAGAAGACGGAGGTTTGTTCTAGCCATTGCATTGAAGGCAACAAGAGCTCATTTGGAAAAGTTGATACGAAGATTTTTTCTTGGAAACACTTTGCGGAAAACACTTTGTCAGTTTGCTTTAAACTAGGAGAGAGCTTTTCTCGTGCTCCTTTTCCAAGTTTTCGAAAGGCTTTGATGTATAACATAGCTATGGCTACAGCCCAGTGTAACGGTATGACTGGCCGAGAAATTGTAGAATTCACGGACGCAGTGATGAAGCAACCTAGTGTTCTTTTTTTCCAGTATCTTCTCGAACAATTTCAGAAACAATACTTATTTTTGATGATAGACGAACTTAGCCACTTGAGTTATCTCACTAAATACTATAGTGAACTCGGCGAGGAACAGTTTGTTGAGTCCGATCCTGGTTATATCCCGTATCGCAAATTTTTTCGAACTGTATATGAGTTGCTTAATACAGGAAAAGTTATCTTGTATATTGCTGGGCGAACTGCCGAAATCTCAGCCCGCCTGTCTGATGCTCGCTCCAGTAGTATCACCCTCCATATGTTGCGGCTGAATCCCTTTAACCTCCATGATATTAACGAATATCTTGAGCTGGCAACTTATGATGGAAAGCCCTTGAAGGACTGTTTATTACCCTCAGATAATTTACGATATCGATTCGTAGAATTGTTGAAAAAGAAGACAGGGAGTATTCCGTTGATTGTCAGGAACACTTTTTTAGCATTAATAAGAATGCAACACGAAGCCCAACCTGTTATCAACGATGACAATATGGAACTTTTGTTAGATAGAATCTTTCACTTGGTACTACTAGAGTCGATAATGTTTATTATTCCGGAGATACTAGATTCCGCAACCCTTCTTCGATATCAACTTGTCCTTTTGAATTATCAGCTCGGGACAGTTTTTCCGGAAAAATCGCCTCTTTTTATATATTCTGTCCATCGCGCGTTCCTAACAAGGCATACAAATCGGGTCTTCTATCACGGAATAAACCCCACGCGGCTCTCTGCTTACGAATAGCAGCTAAATCAAATGCATAACAAATAAAAGTTTCACTATTCATCCACGCACATACATATACATATATATATATATATATATATTCATCATCCACATTTAGCGAGAGTCTATCTACAATTTACCTCGATGAGTCTGCTTGTATCTTGATCTCTCCAGTTGCATCGACAATCAAACTGGAACCATAAAATGTGATATGTGAACGATGATCGGTATATTGAGTATACTCCACGCCTACTCGATTGGAAGCTACCAAAGGTATCATATTGGCTGCAGCATGAC